ACCCATGACATGAGTCTCTGGGGCCATTCCTATTCAAACCACTACAGTGACTTATCCTTACAGCGCAGGGGAATAGGTGTAGAGCTATGTGACCTGCTGGTAGGTGTGCCTCTAAGAAGAGAAGTTAAGTAACTCCAGTGAAACTGTTAGCAGAGGACAGAATAGGAAGACTCGGTTTACCCTAGATTGGTTGTTATTCTCAAGTTATGTGACATCCTAAAATGAGAGGTGCAAGTGTGGGCCTTTGCAGTTATTTGTCTAGCAGTATAGGTAAGTCTTTTAATTGGGAATATTCAACCACTAGTGACTACCAAATTATGTTAGTTCCATTTGGTGTGGGTCATGTTTAAAGTCCTAAGTATAGACTCTGTTAGAAGATTGATACATTGATGCTGGTTTTTAAATGAACAAATACCCTTGTGTACATTGAAAAATAAGCAATTTGTAATTGTTTAACAATAGTTCTCATAGTTGCTGCTAATAGAATAAACTCACTTATTCTAGTATGTACATGCTAATGTTTTAAAAATCAGCTCAGTACCTTAGAGGTGATCTCACTCTCTAGGTTTAGTGTGTTCTCAGAAAAATGAGCATGCATTTAGAGCAAGATGTACCAGGGCTAACTCTGTGTGTAGTCTAGGGTAGCCTCAAACTGAGTTACTCTTCCTCCCAAGATTGTCACCACCAGGCCCATCTTAAATGCTGTACATTGCTTCCTTCTCACCTGGGTCCCAAGACTTGGGTGGCAGGAAGTTTCTATGTTCTTTCTTCCAAAAACTTTGTGAATGGGAACTTGGCTCTTGAATTTTAAGGGAAAGATTCTGTGATAATTTGTCTCTCTATGGTGAATGGAGGATGACATTGATCTGGGGGCTTAAGATTTGCCTTTCACAGATATGAGTTGGTCCTAAAAGGCAGGTTTGAGTTAAGTGCTCTTCCTTGGCTCAGTGCTCCTGTACTTGCTGTCTAAAAGCAACAGTGCCTGTGAACTTGCACTCTGCAGACTGTGGGTCTTCAGTCACTTGACCTACTGTGCTTCCTAGTACTTTGTTTTATTTGTTCACTCTCTGTATTAAAAGTGGTTCTATTTAGACTTGTCCCAAGAGTGGGCATGCTCCATTTATTGCCTCAGTTTCTTTGCCTCGTATTTGTAAGCAACTGCTGTACTATAATCTTGAGGTCTAACAGTCCAGTGCTCTAGCGGTGTTGTATTTATTCTAAACATCTAATATCATTTTTGTCTGACAGGCTTATCTTCAGCAGACTCAAGAACTGGTTTTACTTGAAACCATAATGCTACAAACACTGGGTATGTGCTCATATCATTTGTGTCCAATAATGTAATATTCTAAACAAAATTTTCTAGAATAGCTTCTTATTGAAGAGAGTTGTTTAAAAATAGTTTTGAGCCAGGTGGTGGTAGCCCAGCACTCAGAGGCAGAGGCAGATCTCTGTGAGTTCAAGACCAGCCTGGTCTACAGAGCTAGTTCCCAGAACAGCCAGGGCTACAAAAAGAAACCCTGTCATGAAAAACTGAAGAAAAAAAAGGAAAAAGAATGTTAGACTTATCTAAAGTTAAGTGGTTCTCAGGAAGGAAACTAGCCAGCTGAGATCAGAAAAACATGAGCCCTGGGGAGGTCAGAAGTTTTATCTAGGCTTCTGACTACTGTTGTAAACTTGGCAATTTTCTTACCTTTTCCATTCCATTCCGCACATATGGAATGAAAACTGCTCTATTATAGCAATTTTTTTGTTTTTACTTCACTGTTACTCCATTTCCAAATGTTAAATAGAAATATAAGTACAAACAGGAGTAGGAGTGGTAGGTAAGTACATGCCTTTAATTCCAGCACTCGGGAGGCAGAGACAAGTGGCTCTCTGAGTTTGAGGGCTTCCAGGACTATATGGTGACTCTTGTCTCAAACAAAGAAAACAAGTAGAAATAGAGCTACGTGTGCTGGCAAATTTTAATTATAAATGTTGATTAAAAGCACATGAATTAAGTTTTATTAAAAGACACAAAAGTGAAAGTGAAGAGTTGCCTCTGAATCCAGTTATTTGACATACTGTCTTGATTACAAAATTTACGAGTTACATTTATTTGATATTGATAGTTACGTTATAAAACATAAACTTACTTTTATGGTGTGAAGGCATTACATAGGAGCTGATGGTAGAAGTCTCAACTTCTGTGTTCCACCCCAGCGCCACTAACAATAGTAGTTACTGCATGTCTTATGGCATTCTTAAACACAGAATAATGCGTACTGTTTAAGTGTGCATTAAAAACACACCTCTTTCTTTGAAATGTCATTTTGCTAGTTAATTACAGGAGAGAGATAAATAAAATACACCTTTATAAACCCTGATTACTCATTTGTTAAACTTTAGACTTGGTGTTCTAAAGATATTAAAGCCACATGGAAGAGCTGACTAGGTAGTCATTGAAAGCTTTCCTACATTTTTTCCTTGAATGTCTGAAGCTAATTTTAGAAACAGTCTGCTTGTGTAGCTCAATGTCCCAATGATTCTTGTTAGGAGATGTAGCTATGCCCCTTTGGTTTAAGAGTAAAATGAAGAGAGCTGCTGTATGTAAAGGTCTTTGATGCTGCTATTGGTAGCAGGTATGTTTATGAGAAATGTTTTTCCCACATCTTTTCTTAACAAAGATTTTTAATGTTAAAGAAAGAGAATACATAAGCTGCAGCCATGGTAATAATTATTTGATGATTTGAACATAAGCTCACATGGATTAAAATTCTAAATTTTAGATCAAGTTGGCCTTGATGTTTAAATAATTGTCTTTTCCTATTGAGACATAAGAAACTAGTTACCATTTGTTCTGGAGGGTAATGGACATGTCCACAATGAAAAGCTTTGGATTTCTCTTTAACACTGAAGAGTATATTAGACATGATCTTATGGTGAGCTGGATTGCTCAGGCAAGTATGATAGTGGTAAGTAGTTGGGAAAAAAAAAGTGCTTTTCATTTCAGGTTTTGAGATCACCATTGAACACCCACACACAGATGTAGTGAAATGCACCCAGTTAGTAAGAGGTGAGTGGTCCCTCAACCATCTGGGATGAATGTTGTTCCTCCAGGGTTGGTATGGATAGTTTTTAATCTTTTAGCCTTTTGTTGGGCTTTATTAAGAAGGGCAATGTAAGCCAGGGGTGGCACTTGCCATTAATCACAGCACTGCAGAGGCAGAGACAGATCACTGTCGGTTTGAGGCTAGCCTGGTCTACAAAGTGAGTTCCAGGATAGCCAGGGCTACACAGAGAAACCCTGTGGGGGGATGGGCCGGTAGTAAGGGTAGGACAGTGTCATCTTGAAATAGTATTCGTCTACTTCGGTCTGCATTTCTTTCTCCAAGTGCATTTGGTTGCTTTTGTGTGCTGATAGAGAAAACTAGCAAAGCCTATCATACCTTACTGTGGTTCAAACAGGAGCCCTTTGTGTTTGTTGTGGCCTAGAACTCTTCCCCCAGGTTGCCAGTGTTGCTTCTCTAGATCCCCTTTGGATTATTTATGGGCGCATCACGGCCTCTGGGGGCCACTCCCGTGCTTGGTCTTTTTAATAAAATCCTGTGGTTTTGGTCTCTTCCTTGCAGGATTTTTAAGGTTTATTTTTAAACAAAATGGATAAGACCTTGGGATTTTTTTGTTGGGAGGGAGGGAGGGAGGGAGGGAGAGAGAGAGAGAGAGAGAGAGAGAGAGAGAGAGAGAGAGAGAGAGAGAGAGAGAGAGAGAGAGAGAGAGAGAGAGGAGAGAGAGAACACTGATAGTCTCATTCTAAATTGAATTCATTTTATATCTAGATAACATTTTGTTTTTGCTGATGCCAACATTGAAAAACAAGCCTAGAGTCTTCATAACCAGCACCCTTGCCAAAGTTCCGAGACTCATATTTTAATCATACTTTATCAGTGAACCACTTTGTAAACCACAGTATTTTAATTATGGTTCCTGTTCTTCTCAGTCATATGAATTTATTTTGTAGCATGTTCTCTTCCCTGATTATAGTAAAGTACACATTAAATAGCTTACTTAACTAGTTGTAGGTGTTGAGTTAAGAAAAGCTTGTAGGTTGATCTCCCTGAAATTTTGAAAGGTAGCAAACCATGTAATTTGCTCCACGTCAAGAACCTAATGAAGAAAGACATTAGTACACACTCACTAATAACATCAGTAACACTTTAGCAAAGGTGTGTGTATTGCCTTAAGAAATAAAGCTGGATTTAAAATTAACACTTTGAAAAACCTACAGATTTGATACACCATCCACCAAAAAGGGTTTTGTTGTTTCATTATTCAATGTTCTTCTGCTAAAGTCTGGTTTCTAGCCTGAACCTTGAGTACAAAGTGTATGTCTGTTTTCATGTGCGTGTTTGTGCAGGGGAGGAGCCCCTCAGTCTGACTCAGCTTTGAAGTAGCTGAGCTTGCTTCCTTTAAAGATTTTCTTTCATCTTTAGTGTCTTAATTTCCTTTGCTCTGTTATGACTTTGAACTAACAAGAATACTTTATCTTCATTCCTGTTTATTGAATTTAGATACAGTCCTTAGGAAATGTGACACCATAATTGAATGTTTTTATTATTTTACGGTTTGTTTGGTGGGGGGTAGACATTTATGTAAAGCTCTCACCTCCTGCTCCAGATGAGACAGTTGCTACTTTGCTGCAGAATTGGCTGTTGTCGTTTTACAGGGACCTTTCACTCTGTGATCTCTCCTTCCCTCCCCACCAGGAAAGAATACCATACTTAAGTCACACTGCCTCCAAGACCTCTGGTGCTCTGACAGTCTTCCTTAGCACAGCTCTGCCAGACCCAATCCTTTTTGTTAAACCTTCCCTTGATGATCACATGGGGCAGCAGGGATTACAGGTGCCATGAGTGAAAACTAGGAGGGGAAGGAGTCTGGGGACTAGGGAGGGTGGGGTTCGTGGCTGCCAAGCTAGGTGAACAGTGATTTTGAACAGTGGGGGTGGGGGTGGTGAGGTCATTCCTATTGGGAAGAATATGGGGTAGGAGAAGGGGAGGGAAAACTGTTTCGTGTTTTAAGAAACTAGTTAAAAATTGCTTTCCTGTTGAACCAGTATCAGAAGCATCCTTATTCCCCCCTAGAATACTCCTCTTTCTAGGTATTATCTCTAATTGGAGTCTGTAAGTTTACAAAAAGAGTGTAGTGGGGCTTCCTACATTCTGTTACTGTGTAATACCGTGGTAAAGAACTGAGGTTGTGCTCTGAGTTTGGGGTGGGGGTTGTTTTGATCTATTTGAAGGAAATTTAAGCCAGCCTAAATATGACAGGATTAAGTTTGGCAGGCAACTCTTTACATTTTGTATTAGACTTCAAAAATCTTTTCTTCTTCTTCTTTTTGTTTTGTTTTGTTTTGTTTTTTTAATCCAGGAGAATGCTTTATTTCAACTTTTAGCTGACTAGATGCTTAACTTAGTAACAAGTTTAGCCTAGCTAAAAGCAAATCGGCTTGTTTCTCAGATCTATGGGGGATAGCAAGAAACATTTGAGTGAATGTTGTTGAAGATTTTCAGTAGTATAGAAAATGATGGCGCTCTTGTGATATTTGTAAGTAGTAAGTAAAATTTACTTTTTGTGTACAAATCTTTGATGTTTTGTTGTATTAAGAGTTTCGTGGTGTTTACACATTGAAGCTGATGATGTTGTCTTCGTTCTTTTTTCTTTTCTTACAGCAAGCAAGGATTTGGCACAGACATCCTATTTCATGGCTACCAACAGGTTGTTATCCTGACCCTCTTTGTTGCACTGTTGTAGCACACTATAGCTTCCTTTAATGCAGGGCCCCCTCAACGTGTCTCTTGCCCTTGTTGCAACAGGAGACTGGACCATCTACTGTGGTGGTACCTTCCTGGTTGCTTTGCGGTGTATTGTACAAGGGACTTTGGGCACAGAGGGGTTAAATGCACACTGTGAAGTGTAGTGGTGCTTTCTGGTGGCATATTCTCGATTTGTGAGTGCATAAGTCTAAACTTGGTAGCCTGAATAGCAGCTAAAGATTACACAGAGCTAAACTTAACCTAGAAACTTGGTAAGTATAAAGCTATTTCTAGTTTACAATTATAGTTAAATGACATTTCTTTTTTGATTTTCACATTGATCCAGTCTTTAAAATAATTGTTAAAGTTTCTTAAGTAAAATTTATGTGATTTGGGACTTGTTCCAGATAATATTCCAAATAGTAAATTAGAAGTAGTCACGTATTATCAATGCCTACTACGTTTGCAGAAATACAATCTTTATTTTGAAAGTCCCGCTTTTCTATTTAGAGAAAGTAAAAATATAGTACGTGTTCATGGCTCTTCAGTAATTGTTTCATCTATTCTAAACTAGAATAATATCGAAGGAGGCTCTAAAATTGAATGTATGATTGGATGTTAAAGGTTGAAAATTTTTAAGTGGGCACTGTTAAAATGGGAACCAAACTACCTTTTTGGATTAGCAAAACCTAGACCCCTGGGCATGGTGGCATACCCATGTCATTCCAGCCCTGGAAGATGGCGACAGAAAGACCAGGATTTCAGAGTTGTCCTTGATTATATAGAGAGTTTGAGACCGGTCTGTGAAACATGAGACTCTGTCTCAAAAACCTTTGTTTAAAAAGTTAGCCCTGTGAAATGTCATGTGCCCAGTTTTTGGTACGTTATGAGAAGTAAACATAGTATTTATTAGTATTGATTGACTTCTTTTGAGCCTTGAAATTTTTTTGTAAAAGGTAAGTTCTCTTTGAGGCTTTGCTGGAAGGGTCACAGAAATTTACATGAACAAGGACTAAAAGCTCCTGATTAACAAAGAAGTATTTTTACTGTTAAGCCACATCACATCAAATGGTCTGATCTTTGATTGCGCTATTAAAATTGCTTTGTTTTATAATGTCTTTACCATAATGTTTTTGCCATAACATTAAAAAAAGAACCAAGACTACCACAAAAAAGTTTAAAAGGTTATATTTTGTATATGATAATTATTGTGAATATACTATTTTTCCTTTGCATAATACTTTATTAAACTTTAAAACAAAAAATGTGTTAGTATTAATTATATAAATAAAAGTAACTATTATGGGGGATGAGAATGAGGAAAGTTTCATGATCTATATAAAAGCTTTGTATTATAATTTTCAGTAGTATTAGCTCTTAATTTAATAGAATATCATTATGTAAAGAAAAACACTTCTGACTTTGTTTGCTTTTGTCTTACTGGCAAATGTTTTTCTTTGTTTTACATATTTTGAATTTTGTGGCCCTCCACTTTTTAATCTGCTCTACACCAGTTTGCATCTTACGACCTTCTGTCTTCAGTACAAACCCACGGTGATAGCATGTGTGTGCATTCATTTGGCTTGCAAATGGTCCAATTGGGAGATCCCTGTGTCAACTGATGGAAAGCACTGGTGGGAATATGTGGACCCTACAGTTACCCTAGAGCTGCTAGATGGTAAGCAGAGGGAAGAGGTCCTTTCCTGTGTGAAGACTGTACTATAAGCTTTTTCTGTATGTGCAGTGCACTCTACCACAATGGCTCCTTTGTTAATCCCAGATGTCCTTTAATTTACTAATATTCGTATTTCAGGAGGTAGCATCTCTTTAAAGACCCATATTTAGTTCCTTTTTTAATGGAAGAACTTAAAAGTATAGTTATGAGTATGTTGAAATAAGGAACCTGTGAACCACATCAACCATCCAATGTTTACTAACAACCAGTTCACACACAGAAAGCAAGTTTGTATACAAAGTAATGTAATAAATGAGTTTCATAGGAATCAGTATATTTAGTTCTAATCTGTCCCCTTGCTCCATTCGATACTGTATGTTGATGGGACATGAATAAGCTGGACTGGGTGTGGTGGCACATACTGTTAATCTCAGTAATTGGGAGACAGAGACAGATATAGATTGAGCCACCCAGGATACACAGTGAGACCCTGTCTCAAAGAAGTAAAAAGCAAAGAATAAGCTGGAAATATACCAGTTGAGTTTGTCTACTAGATAAGAAATGCTAAAGTATGCTAATCTTGTTGAGTTTAAAGCATGTATACTAGGATCAGGGTTTAACTGGGTTATATAAAGTCCTAAGCTCAGTCTCAAGCACTTTTAGAAGTGTAAGCTCAAAGTTGGGTAATAGCTTCCTATATAAACGGCGAAACAAAGTCCAAGGGGTTTCTTCCTTATTATGTCGCTTACATTATTAATTAGGAAAGAATAAGGGAAAATTAAGTACAAGTCCTACCAGTTACGAACCTGAGATTTGAGGGTCTCTGGTAAGACACAATGATAACTGATTAAAAAATAAGCCAGATTGTTGGGATAAGTGGTAAGCACTGTCAAGCAGGTATAAGATTTCAAAAAGAAAGTGATAGCAAACTGAAGCAGAGGTCAGATTTTCAGCTCTCTCTCTTAAGACTTCCAATGTCTGTTTACAAGAAGAGACTGATGGGAAGATAGACTTCACCTCCGTTACTGTTACAAATACTAACTTTACTACATAGAGTACAGAGCCCTAAGTTTCTGTTGTAAATGTAGCTCCCCATCAGCTGAAAAGGAGCCACAAGCAGTTCATAAGCCAGTAGTGGGACTGCAGGTCACATTTGCCTGACTAGCTGTAGTTGGCCTACCCCACTTAAGAAACTTGTAGATATATATGTATCTATTTTTTCATGTTTCTGTCACCTACCATGCTGTTTTTATCAACATCGTGCTCTAACCAACTGAGCTAACTGGTCGGCTGAAGATGCTGTTTTTAAATGGTTAGTTTTTTGTTTTGTTTTTCCAAGTAATTTGGATAAAAACTAGTAAAGGCCTTTTCGTTTGCTTCCCTTTGTCCTGTACCTTGAAAAAAAAAAAAGATCAGTTTATTAATTATGTCATTGTCCCACTTTAGCAGTCAATAGATTATAAGTAATCTGCCTTTTTTTTTTCTTGCTTGCTTTTAGGACATGTGTACAGTTACCCTTATTGTTGTTATAATTGATATAAGAGCCTCCTGTATTTTCCTCTACTTCTGTTCTTCGTTATTGATTTGGAAGTTGAAACTCAATATATTAAATAGCATATTTTCTGTTTCGATCAAATTGTCTTGAATTATATGTAGTATTTCTACTACTATTACTTCCTGAAGCTACTCATTTACTAACTGCCCCCAAACATCTTTGGCTTAGATTTAGCCTAATTATAAGGGGCTCTGCTTGTGAGTGTGATTGAGTGTGTATATATTAAGGTAGTTTATGTCTCATTCTGTCTGTAGATTAGCTCCAAGGAAGAAAGGCCTCAGTAAAGAAGCCCCCAGGGGTTGGAGCCAGGAGAGTCAGTTTGAAGCCATACACCGAGGCCAGCCTAGGCTACATGAGTCCCTGTCTGTCGATGGGTGGGTAGATGGATGGACAGATGGGCCTTTATTTTAGACCTCATACTCTCTATAGTACATGGAAATTATTTATTTACAATAATGGATTACTGCAAAATTTAACAGAATAAAATACTTGAGAGGAAAAGCAAAACTTGCATTTTTGTCTGCTATGTGCAGATAAAATTTGTGCAGGAAATTTGAGGCAGAACATCATTCACACTGGACCCAAAAATATCTGGGCATTTTGTTGGCATCAGGTGAAAAGGGACCTTTTCAAAGGAGGAAATGGAGTTCCTAGCGTTGGATATTTTATTTTATCCAAACTTGCTGAAAAGCTCCTGAGACTAAACAAGAAACAGTCTAGGATTACTGAGGAAGCTCAATCTAGAAGCATGGTTGACTTAAACTTTAGTTGATGAGTGCTTTTAGCACAGTTTTTATAGACTGATCATAGTGATGGTGGTTTGAGGCAGTCATTACTGTTTGGGGTGCTGGGCATTAAACCCATAGTCTCATGTGGCAGGCAGCATCTCATCCCGTCACAGGCTGAGTTTGGTTAGTTACCATGCTGTGACAACCTTTAGATAGCTGTGTATATAGTGATACTGGATTAATTTTTGTGTGTCCTGCAGTTGGACATTCTGTGTTACCTTAACTGCTGCTCAGTGTTAACACTTGCCTAGGCTGGGGTGAGAGGAAAACTTGCTATTTTCACACAATCGGTTAGTGTGCAGCCTCTGCTTGGTCCCACTGTGTCAGATTGATTTGACATGCTTAATACATATGATATTAAGCCTCAATTGACATATGTTTGCCAGTGAGTATTAATAATGGTTTATGTGATAGAGGTATAATTTAACACAGCTATGCCATTTTGGAGCAATACTCACCCATTGTAATCCTAATCTTAAAATGATGGATAAATTAAGATAATGGATAAAATTTTTACTGCTGTAATTTGCTAGTATAGTGTTAAAATCGCTCCAAGTGTGAATGTGGATAGAATTTTCTTCTTTTAGACATTTAACCTTGAAATAATTTTAAGCTTAAAGAAATTGTAAAAATACTTACAGAAATCCATGTGATATCTTGAATCCTAGCTTCTGTTGCTGACATATAGTATTTGATTGTTAAGATTAGGAGATTAACACTGGTATAATACTGCTTGTTCTGTTCAGATCTCCCCATTTTCTCTGGTGTTGGGTATTATGTTCTGTTTGTATCCAACTGAAATATCCAGATAGTCACCTCCAGGCTGTCAGAGCACTCCCTCTAATTGCTTTTGATTGGAGGACTAATAAGTGATTTCCAGATTGTCTGATGCTTTTTTTCATCATTGAGATTGAGTGTTCTTGGCAAGAATACTACAGAAGTAGGTACCCTGCTTGCCTCTCAAAGCATGGATCGGTGTTCACATAGTGTGTCTACCACTATGCTGGTCATATGTTAACGGTGGTGCTGTTGAGTTTTTCGTTGTAAAGCTATTCTTTCTCTTATATTAAACCTGTTGGGGAATATACATTTAGGGCTATACAAATGAATACCTTTTTCCCAGACTCCTGCCTGCTAATTTTAAAGAACCCATTGGTGGCTCTCTCCTACGTGAAATATTGCTGTATTGTTTGCCTGGTAGAGAGTCCCACCACCACCACCCTCCAGGAGTTTATTTTCTAAGTAAGATGTGGGGAAGGAGGGATCTTTTTTAAGTGAATTCAACTTTGAAATAAAACAGTTCAGAATTGTATCTACTTCTGTGTATGCCAAAGACTGAAGAGGAAGTTAAGAATAAAAGGTGTGAGGTCTTAGGACACCTTTTAAATATTGCCCACTTGAGAGAAGTTCAGATCCTAAAGGCACCGTCTAAGCTTTAAATTTAAATTTTATTTTTAGAGCTAACACATGAGTTTCTACAAATATTGGAGAAAACGCCTAGTAGGTTGAAGAGGATTCGAAACTGGAGGGTAAGAGAATTGGCAGGGTTTAACAAAATATATCAGTTTGTCACTACTCTAGCAATTGCCTAGCACACAGTTTGAAATTGAATGACTAAATACTGTGCTTTGCAGTGTTTCCCAATACATTGAGACAGTGTACCACACTTGAACTGCAGGTGCTTCTAGTTGCTCAGCTCCTGTGGCCAGTGGACTGTCTATGTCATATCTCTTATTTTTTATTATTATTATTAGTCTTAGTCATGGGGAAATTCCTTTAAGCCTACATAAGTTACTATCTCAAGTCCTGGATTAGGATGTAATTGTTTCTAATTCTCAAAACTTAAAGTCTTCTGTTACATTCATTTATTGCCTTAGAACTTTTTGAGTCTAGGTGGTTTTATTTTTTTGTACGTCCTATAGAGTTTTACAAGCAAAGAATTTTCTATTAAAGCTCCTTGCTGTCATTGTTTCTTCTGTTTCTCATTTAACTAGGCTATGGCTAAGAAACCAAAAGTAGATGGACAAGTATCAGAGACACCACTGCTTGGTTCATCTTTGGTCCAGAATTCCCTTTTAGTAGATAGTGTCACTGGTGTGCCTGCCAACCCAAGTTTCCAGAAACCTTCAACATCAGCAACATTTCCTGCTCCAATACCTCTAAATTCAGGAAATACTTCTGTTCAAGACAGCCGTGCATCTGATAATTTGTCAGTGCTGGCAGCAGGAATGCCCAGTACCTCGTACAGTTTGTCGTCACACCAAGAATGGCCTCAACATCCAGATTCAGCCAGGACAGACCCAGTATACACACAGAAACAGGAGGCCACACTGTCTGGGAGCCAGTACATCAGTTTCCAGCAGGGACCTTCAGTGACACTGCATTCGGGATTACATCACAGGCCAGACAAAATTGCTGATCATTCATCAGCTAAGCAAGAATACGCTCACAAATCTGGTAGCAGTAAGCACCATGGGCCCATTCCTGCTGCTCCTGGAGTGGTTCCTCAGAAAATGTCTTTAGATAAGTACAGAGAAAAGCGGAAGCTGGAAACCCTTGACCTGGACACAAGGGATCATTATATAGCTGCCCAGGCAGTCGCAGGCAGCTCTGTCACTTCTCCCATTAAAATGAAACTTCCCATCACCAACTCTGACAAACCTGAGAAACACATGGCAGAGAAAAAGGAAAAGAGCGGCTCACTGAAGTTACGGATTCCTATCCCACCCCCTGATAAAGGTCCCAGTAAAGAAGAGCTGAAGATGAAGATCAAAGTGTCATCCTCAGAAAGACACAGCTCTTCTGATGAAGGCAGTGGGAAGAGCAAGCTCTCCAGCCCACACATCAACAGAGACCACAAGGAGAAGCACAAGGAACACCCCGCCATCCGCCACCACAGCAGCCACAAGCATTTGCACATGCTCAGTGGAGGAGGCAGTAAGCATGCTGCTGATGGAATGCCACCCACTGTGCTGAGGAGTCCTGTGGGCCTGGGCCCTGACGGCCTCTCCTCCAGCTCCAGTGCAAGGAAGAAGCTGCATATCAACGATGCCTCCCACAACCACCACTCCAAAATGAGCAAAAGTTCCAAAAGTTCAGGTAGTTCATCTAGTTCTTCCTCTGTTAAGCAGTATCTGTCCTCTCACAGCTCTGTTTTTAACCATCCCTTACCCCCTCCTCCCCCTGTCACATACCAGGTGGGCTACGGACATCTCAGCACCCTCGTGAAACTGGACAAGAAACCAGTGGAGCCCCACGGTCCTGAGGCCAATCACGAGTACAATACAAGCAGCCAGCATTTGGACTACAAAGACACATTCGACATGCTGGACTCGCTGCTAAGTGCCCAAGGAATGAATATGTAATCATTTGTTTAGGTCAACTTTTCCTTTCCTTTTTAATTTAAAAATGGTTGGAATGGAAAACTTCCTCCTGATCCAGCAGTGGTGCCACTGCTTCGTATTTGTAAGTGCTGCTTTATTCTTCATTCTGAAAAGAAGAGATGATAGTAAACAAGTCTTTCTCCACATGATAGTGTTACCAGTACTGTAAACGCATGGAAGATGCAGCTAAGAACATTAGGATGAATGGCTGGCTGCTGCTAGGAATCTAAGCTGCCTCAAGCTTTTGTTATTTATGATTTGAATACTGTAGCTGTTTTTTGTTGTTGCTTGGCTTTGAATGAGTGTCAATTGTTTTCTTTTGTGTATTTATACTTGTATGTATGGTTTGCATGTCTCAGTGATAAAGGGATAAAACAGTATACTGACAACTGTTTACAAGAAAGTGGAGAAAAATGTACATACATTTTTGTATGTTTAGATATTACCATAAATACTCAGGATCGGAGCTGCTTGTAAGTATAACTATACAGAATAACTTTATTTTCTCTCGTCAGAGTCCATCACTAATCTTAAACACAAGTGGCACTTTTTTATGTTAACCTTAAACTCTAGGCCTTACTGGAAGCCGCTGAGGGGACACTTCACTACTAGACGGGGATGCGGTGCCACGGGTGGTCCTTAACACTGGGAAGCGCTCAGTTTGCCTTCAGAGGTTCTGACCAGATTGGCTACAGAATCAACCCTGATTTCTGAAGGCCTGAAGAGGAAAAAAGACAAAAGTTTACAATACACTTGATGTGAAGTGCATTTAAATGTTTGCTGGTTTGTTGCAGTGCTGTAGAAGAACAGTTCATAATGGGTATGAGGGTGACTGTGGCTTAAGTCACAGGAGCTCCCAGTAAAGAATTTGTCCATTTCTTCAAGAACTTTGACACTACAGATTTTAACAGTGAACAGGGATCACTTTTCCTTTAGCATTTGCAGTGACACCATAGTCTTTAATAAACTCTTCCCATGGAGAGAGAGTGAGTGAATATGTATTAGTGAGAGAAATACCATATTTCTTTTTCAGGTAAATGCAGTCTTCCTTATAAAAATGAAATTAAACCTATGCTCTCTTGATTCTTTTATATTCTGACAATAAATAAAAGAAAACCTTGCTGACTGTGCATTGTACCTGTATTCATAGCTTATGGTCATTATCAGGAAAACGTAAGGAAAAAGGCCAGCCTCAGGCAAGCCACTGCTGGAGGCTTTACATTCGTTTGCACGTCTTAGTAGGTTCTCATTGAGGTGACGCTTGCACTGTCACCTGACGTCTGGTCAGGGGATAGGCTAACTTATCTAAATTTTGGTGTAAGCACCAATAGTGTGGCTCTTGTCTGTTGCCTAATGTTGAATTTATTTCTGTGGTAAGTCTTAGCTGTTGAGTCTCTTAAGATGGGTCGGATTCAACTTGTATTGAATCACAATTTTCCCCTGTATATGAACTGTTATAAAGCCACTGATCTGTGCACAATTGTAATTTTATTCAAGTATGTTGTGGTTGTAAATATTAAGAGTTGAGCCTTGTACTCTACTTTTATTTAGCAATTACCTAATTTGCCAGTAGCTGTTTGTTTGTTTCTTTGTTGTTTTTTTTTTTTAAGAAAATTGTTATTATTTTGTCAATGTTATTTGAACTTGGGATGTCAGGAGCCTCTTTGTGGGAACTCTGCTTAGCAGGCTCATAGTCACTCTGTTCTTTTCTTGTCTTGCATCAGTAATCTGTTACTATATGATTTTGTTGCTGTGTGGTATACTATTGTATCATAAACATGGTGATTCTGATGCAGTTACAGTTTACTGTGGTACATATTCAAGAACTAGCATAGAATTAAACAGAGTGCAAGGTGAGGGAGGGAAGGGTTTTGTTCTTGGTGATTTAGATGTGAAACCTCGACAGAGCATCATGTGAACTGACATGGGGTGGTCATGCTACTGTATCATTGGGAGTGATGCCAGGAATTTTAATCAGCTTTTGTAAAGAGCATCCAGAGAAGTAGTGAACTTATTTTCAGTATGACATAGACAACAATGTGAATATTTAAGGTCTGGGACTGTAGTTAAACTTCACTAAGGATTTTCAGTAATGTGTTGTGTTTTTTTGTTTGTTTTGTCTTTTTTTAGATATGGGAATAAAGGTAATTTTGTTGAATCTTATTGGTGCTAATGACGGACAGTTAAACAGATAGTGTATATGCTGTGGATCAGTACACTTAGTACTTCCAGAATTGACTTTGAAATGCTATGTATTCACTTTTCACTCTGTAAATGTAATTCTTTACAATGACTATTTATTAAAAGGCAGTCAGTCGTGATTTTTACAGGATTGTGTGAACTATTCAAACTCTTCAACCTCTGAACAAGATGCTAAAATCACAATGGGGCAAAATGTGTGAATCCTCTTAGGTTTCCTTTCCACTAAAGAAAACCCTTGATTCATATCACCATGAATTTGCTTGAATCATCTTGTTTGCATAAAATAGTTCATCTGCATGGTTCCATTAGACTCTACCAAAGAAAAAAGACTCAATGAATGGACATTCTCTTGTGAGTCTTGTAAGTAGCCATAAATAACCAAAATAGTATCAAACTTAGGTGTGAAATTTCACATGTGCGAAGTACTGTTAAGGTGATAAATTTTTGATGAGTTTTTTAATACTTGAAAATATTAAAAAGCATTATCTTTAAATTGTCCTATAAAAGAGTGATTCATTCTTAAGGTGTGTTTCCCTAGGTTTGTGACCTTTTTGCAAAAAGCACATTGTAATCAGAGGCTTCCTGTCTACCTCTTAGCTAATTTTCCAAAATCAAGATGTGCTTCCTAAATATTTGCCTTAGCTACTAACATGTGCAGTTTTCAGGACCAAAGCAAGGGAATGTTTGTTTGCAGAAGTCTTCTTGGAGGCCTGTATTACAAACTTGGGTGGCAGTGCCCATTGGTGGAGAAGAACTTGCAGGTCTCCTAGTAGCAGATAGTAGCAATGGAAGGCAGTGGTGTTGGTCCTGGGCACCCTTTAGAGCAGTGAATGTGCATCTCCGTCTTCTCTGTTATTCAGAATATTCAGCCTTCTAAGATGTCTTCCATGGTATGCGGGATCTGTTTTCAGGAATGTCATGAGTACATACTTTGTGCCAACAGATAGTAGTTATATAGGACTCTCAAACTTTTGGACCTATCTATTCCCTTTGTACTAAAAATAGGACTAGTTAGGGATATACCTTAGAGAAACAGTTTGGAATGTTTTCATTAGTTACAAATAACCTTGCCTTAAGAGGTTTCAAAAAAATGTATTTTCTTACCTGAGGGTTTAAATTCTGATTTTCTTCCTTACCCAGCCTGAGGAATAGGCCTGTGTATGCATGCATGGAGCATGATTTGTTGACTAGATAACTGAGGCTCCTCCGCTTTGGGGATGGTTTGTTTATATAACATCTAGGAAAGAGGAAAGTTTCTTATTTGGGTTTTTTGAGAGTCTTAACTCTATAACAAGGATACAGGTTGGCTTTGAATTACTCTGCCTCCACCTGTGCCTAGATCAGTGTTTTAAGTTATTCCCAGTCTTATCTAAGCAAAAACGACTTCAAGCGTGGATTTAATTTGCCAGAAGATTCTGAGTATTTCTTTGCCGGGAAAAAATTTTTTTTGGAAACTCGCTAACAGCTTTTGACTTGGTATTTCTCTTGATTGAGCAGTTTCCCCCTCAGGAGCCTCTCTTGGGCAGCACTAGGTTCCACTCATCACATTTACACAGGGGAAGGGTTGGGAAAGCCCATGCTAGGGGAAGGAAAGTGGACTGAGTTTACTCTCCTGTGCCTGCTGGTTTTCTTCAGTACTCCATGTTGGTCCTATTGATACTAGTCAGCAGTTAGGTGGAAGCCAGATCAGCCGCTTGTTGGGAACACCTGTCTTCATGTTAGTGGTCCTGATGGTACTGACATGCTCCAAGTTGTTCTTTGTTATTCCAGTTTTGAATTGTGCCCAGCCAGTTCTTTGCTCTGTGAGTCCCCTTTCCTGGTCTGTAATTCCCCATCTTTGCTGCCTGGTATATTCTTGAGGTATGCTGATATGCCCAAGACTACATGGGTAGGGGTAGTTCCATTAACTGCAATTCAATAATCTCAAAAGTCAATCCTGGGAACTCTGTAGCTTCCCTTTGTTTCCAGATTTTGAGAGGAAGCCTCACTTAAAACCCAACAACTCCATTTAGTAGTTGGTGTAACTTGATTGGCCCAGTTGTGAGTAGCTTCTCTTGATTAGGAAAACATCCCTGAAGTACCAGTTTGTTATGGACAGTGAATTTGAACGTTCAAAACCCTTGTGGATAATTGAATGAAACAAGAAAATGTGTATACTGGCATGAATTGGCCTTTGAATTTCAGCTTCTCATTACATAAGGAAATACTAATAAAATTTGTTTATTGACAAACAATACAAGGCTGTAACAAGTTCATGTGAATCTAAAATACCAGTTCCTGGGTATAATGGGAAGTTTGCTGTGATATAATTGACTCTCATCCATCCAAGTACTTTAGAAATCACCCAGGAGTTTGACTGGAATGGGGTTCTCCACAGTGTCAGCCTCAAACTTGACAGTTGTGGTAATGAGTAGAGACTGGGTTTTGTTCTGTGTTCTCTTACAAGGAAGGGCCTATGTAGCCCAGGCTGGCTGGTCCCAGACTCACTACGAAGCTGAAACTGGCTTGGGCTGCCCTTGGCAGCGTTTCCCAAGTTCCGGAACTACAGATAGGCACACTATGTCCAATATGTTCTTGTTTTAAACACTTCTTAGCTGCTCCCAACTCCTCTCCACCAGTTTTCCAGTACCTTCTACTGGAAAGGAAATGAAAGTTAATCGTAATTTTAATAAAGTAAAATTGGGAAGTTGGTTTCCTATAAAAATCCATGTTAACCTAAATATAGTTTGTTATGTTGGGGGTGAGGTGGCACCTGGTACCACTATACTCTTGTGGAGGTCAGATGGGAGGCCATCTACCTTCCGGGCCATCTCTGGCTGGTTATTTGGAGATGTGCCGACAACAGCGAAGAACTCACTGAGGCGGTGTTAACACAAATTTGTGGTCTTTTGTTTTTCCGGGCTGTCCCTGTGGCCTCCCAGGAGAGGGGAAAGGTCTGTGTAGAGACCTGCACCCTAACATTCTAAACTCCAGAGACCCTCTTCATGAGAGCCTGGTTTAGCCGCTGAGAAATGTACATAGTATAGGAGCATAAAGGAGCATAAATCGTGCTTTTTTTTGGGGGGGGGGTTTTACGAGACAAGGTTTCTCTGTATTATTTTGGAGGCTGTCGGTCCAGCCTAGCCTCGAACTCACAGAGATCTTCCTGCCTCTGCCTCCCGAGTGCTGGGATTAAAGGCATTCGCTACCACTGCCCAGCTATAAATCGTAATTTTAACAGTGGGCTTCTTAGAACTTTGAGGCTCTGGGAAGAAAGAGCTCTGGGAAGTACTCACGAGAGCCCAAGTTTGACTCCCAAATGCACGTTTGGTTTGGTTTGGTTTGCACAGGGTTTATCTATATAGCTTTGGCTGTCCAGGAACACTATAGACCAGGTTATCGAAAACTGCCTTTGCCTCCCAGAGTGCTGGGATTAAAGGTGTGTGACACTTTAAAAACTGTGGCAGCTCCTGGGCCAGCAAGCCTGAAATATACAGAGCCTCAACAAAATGACTCCCCAAAGTTTGGATTCTGTGACATATACTCTTTGGTATACATGTACACACACATAAACATACAACGATAAAATTGGAAGACTGCACTGACCCATGGTTCGCACTAGTAAAGTCAGTGTTGGTGAGGTAGTCAGGGCATCTCTGGGGCTCACTGACCAGCTAGTCCAGTATTCTACATCAATAGGAGGGTAGACTTGAAAGCCAATTTATTTTGCTGTGGTCTGTAACAGTGAAAACATGCCTTGTTCCCCACCCCTTCTCTAGAGGTTTTAGCAGGCTTGAACAGAAGTAGTTGTTGCAAAGTTCAAATATCAGATTCAAATGGGTTTTGGCTGGGTGGTTTTGCACACCTTTAGGCAGGCAGATCTCTGCCAGGGCTACATAGAGAAACCCTGTCTCAAAAAAATAAAAAAAACAACAACAACAAAAAAAGCCTGGCATCGGTGGCTCACGCCTTTAATCCCAGCACTCGGGAGGCAGAGGCAGGTAGATCTCTGCGAGTTCGAGGCCGGGCTGGCCCGACAGCCTCCAAAACAATACAGAGAAACCCTGTCTCGTAAAAAAAAAAAAAAAAAAAAAAAAAAAAAAAAACTGGCTGGTGGCTCACACCTTTAATCCCAGCACTCGGGAGGTGGAGGCAGGTAGATCTCTGAATTCAAGGCCGGCTTGGTCTACAAATCGAGTTTTAGGACAGGCTCCATAGCTATACAGAGAAACTACCTTTAAACACAATAACAGCAACATGCAGCAGAGTGGCGTAGTGGAAGCGTGCTGGACCCATAACCCAGAGGTTGATGGATTGAAACCATCTTCTGCTAACTTGCTATTTTGCTGGGCGGTGGTGGCTCACGCCTTTAATCCCAGCACTCGGGAGGCAGAGGCAGGCGGATCTCTGGGAGTTCGAGGCCCGGCTGGCCCGACAGCCTCCAAAACAGTACAGAGAAACCCTGTCTCGTAAAACAAAACAAAACCAAAAAGCCTGGCTTCGGTGGCTCACGCCTTTAATCCCAGCACTCGGGAGGCGGAGGCAGGTAGATCTCTGAATTCAAGGCCAGCCTGGTCTACAGATCGAGTTTTAGGACAGGCTCCATAGCAATACAGAGAAACCCTGTCTCGAAAACCCAAACAAACAAACAAGCCCCCCTCCCCCAAGTGCTGGGAAGAACGGGCTGCACCACCAGCCTGGCTGAGACTAGTAGTCAAACAATAACTGTCAAGTTTAGTAGAAAGCATCAGATATAGCCTCCCAGTATAAATGGCTAATAACCTTAACGATTTTTACTGGTGCTTAGAAATGAGAATAACTGAGTAACTACGGTGGAGATGACCTCAAGTCAAGCTCACATGCTGATTCTTCTAGATCTAGTTTTTATCCCCCTTGCTGTTTTAGGCTTAGCTACTCCCTGTGAATGTAACCTGACCAAAGTGAGCAGCTGTCAAAGCAGCCTGGGGTTTGTGACCACACCTTAATTACTTAAATTATTTGAACTTTTTTTTTAATGGCCTAGGACCATTAAGAATTTGAAAGAAGCCAGTTGGTGGTGACACACCTTTAACCCCAGCACTCAGGAGGCAGAGGCAGGTAGATATCTCTGAGCTCAGGGCCAACCTGGTCTACAGATCAAGTTTTAGGACAGGCTCCATAGCTATACAGAGAAACTACCTTTAAACACAATAACAGCAACATGTAGCAGAGTGGCGCAGCGGAAGCGTGCTGGGCCCATAACCCAGAGGTCGATGGATCGAAACCATCCTCTGCTAACTTGCTATTTTGCCGGGCGGTGGTGGCTCACGCCTTTAATCCCAGCACTCGGGAGGCAGAGGCAGGCGGATATCTGGGAGTCCGAGGCCGGGCTGGCCCGACAGCCTCCAAAACAGTACAGAGAAACCCTGTCTCGTAAAACAAAACAAAACCAAAAAGCCTGGCTTCGGTGGCTCACGCCTTTAATCCCAGCACTCGGGAGGCGGAGGCAGGTAGATCTCTGAATTCAAGGCCAGCCTGCCTGGTCTACAGATCAAGTTTTAGGACAGGCTCCATAGCTATACAGAGAAACTCTATCTTTAAAAACAGCAATAGCAACATGTAGCAGAGTGGCGCAGCGGAAGCGTGCTGGGCCCATAACCCAGAGGTCGATGGATCGAAACCATCCTCTGCTAGTTTGCTATTTTGCCGGGCGGTGGTGGCTCACGCCTTTAATCCCAGCACTCGGGAGGCAGAGGCAGGCAGATCTCGAGGCCGGGCCGACAGCCTCCAAAACAATACAGAGAAACCCTGTCTCGTAAAACCAAAAATAAATAAATAAACAAACAAACAAACAAACAAAACAAAACAACAAGTCGGAAAGAAAAACAACAGGGCGGCAATCAGTAAATGTCTACAGGGGCTGGGAAGAGGGAGCTATTAAGAAAAAAACATGTTAAAGTTGGGCAAGGATCTGTAGACAGGTGGGGATGTGTGTGTCATAGTTTTAATTGCTGTGATGACACGCCATGAACAGAAAGCAACTTGGGAGGAAAGGGTTTATTTCACCTCATACTCCGGTGTCACAGTCCTTCACTGGGGGAAGTCGGGAGAGGAAAAACGGGGCACAAAGGGCAGGAGCTGATGCAGAGGCCGTATAGGAACTCTTCACTGGCTTGCTCACCAAGGCTTTCTCGGCCTGCTTTCTTCTCCCGCCTTGGACCACTATACCTGGGGTGTTGTCACCACAATGGGGAGGACCTCCCTACACCAATCACCAAGAAAATGCACTGCAGACTTGCTTATAGACCAATCTGATGGGGGCATTTTCTCTTGAGATACCCTCCTCTCCGGTGACTAGCTTGTGTCAAATTGACATAAAACTAGCCGGTGCAGTGGTCTTTGGAGAAACAGTGGGAAAGCATCAAGGAAAAAAAAAAGAAGCAAAAGAAAACACTTTTAATACTGATTTTTACCCGTATGTGTGTAAGTATGTGCCTCGTGTTTGCAGAGGGAGGACGAAGGTGACAGATCCCCGAAGCTAGAGTTGCAGGTGGTTATGAGCCACCTGACCTGAGTGCGGGGACCAGAGAGCAGCAAGTGCTCTTTAGTTCTGAGCCATCTTTCCAGCCCAAAAGATACGCTTTTAAAACTAGACCTGAGAAAAGCAGGCAGACTTAACAGTGGGGACCCGCGAGCAGCCGCCCAGCAGAAGCTTCTGAGTTCAGAGACAGAGTGCAAGGCCCTCAGCAGCTCTTACACCCCCTAACGTGTGTGTGTGTGTGTGTGTGTGTGTGTGTGTGTGTGTGTGTGGTTTCTGCCACGTTGGTTTCGCCATCACAGTCCCCAGTCCCCAGGATATCTCATTCTACTTTCCCTGCTTCCTTCAAACCTCTTTTGCAGGAATTAAGTCATGGGTGACTGAGGATGTAGATAACTCAGTGGTTAAAGTGCTTGCTGTACCTGAATTCAATCCCCCACACCCAAGTTGAAAAAAAAAAATCATTGGAGAGGACCTGGAGAGTAGGCGCAGCAGAATTAACAGGATGTGTTACTCTTGCAAAGGATCTGGGTGCAGTTCCTAGCACGCACATCAGGTGGCTCACAACTGCCTGTAACTCCAGTTTCAGGGCATCTGCAGTCCTCTGCTGGCCACTATGGACACCTGCACTCACACCGTGTGCATACATACACTTGGGCACTCATGAATCTTTTTTTGACAGGAGGATGCCTGGAGCTGGTGAGCCAGCTAGTCTAGCCAATCGGTGAGCTCCAGTTCCAATGAGAAACCCTGCCTCAAAAAATAAAGTAGACGGCAACAGAGGAAGACACCAAATGTCAACCTTTGATTTACACATGTACACACACATAAGCGTGCGCGTGCACACACACACACGCATATATACAAATAAATAAGCATATTATCAGGCAAAATGTGTATGATTTATTTTAAACTATTAAAATTGAAAGAAGTTTACACCAGATGTGGTGGTACAGGCCTTTAATCCCAGCACTCCAAGTTAGAGGCAGGCAGATCTCTGTGCTTTTGATGTCAACCTGGTCTGCATAGTGAGTTCCAGGACAGCCAGGGCTATGTAGTGAGACCCTGTTCAAAAAATTAAAAGAAGCATATAAAGCAATAGAGACAGTTCTTAGGCAATCAAAATTGTAAACACTGGAGTGGGGTTTTAAAAATTATTAAAGTTTCTTCTCATGCAAATAGACAGCCATCCCTGGAGTTTAAGGTCAGTATGTAACTAAAACTTTCCAATAATGCTGCAGGATCTGGTTAAATTGGACTAGTTTGGATTTATAATAGGAAAATAAGTCCCTTAACCATCATTCCCCACAGCAGAGCCGGGAGTGGGGGTGGGGAGCCTAGAGTGGGAAGCTGGTGCATGCTCACTGGCTTCTCTTCAGGAAGGAGTGCTTCAAGAGCTGGAGAGCAGAAGGTCTCTCATGCTGATCCCTAAGGCGGAGAAAACACATTAGAAGCAGCTCACAGTACCATGACTACTACCAAGATCTGCATGAATCTGATGCAAACTATAAAGACGGAGGCGTAGGAGCTGGAGAGATGGTTCAATACAGGTGCTCTTGCAAAGGACTATAGTTCAGTTCCTGGTACCCCTGTCAAGTGGCTCACAACTGCCTGTAACTCCAAGACTAGGAGATCTGATGCCTTCTTCCAGTCTCCTCATGCACCCATACATGGTGCAGACACACACAATTAATTAACTGATTAATTAATCAAGTTAAAAAGATGGAGGCACGCCAGGCGGTGGTGGCGCACGCCTTTAATTCCAGCACTCGGGAGGCAGAGGCAGGCGGATCTCTGTGAGTTCAAGGCCAGGCTGGACCAAAAGCCTCCAAAACAATACAGAGAAACCCTGTCTCGTAAAAAAAAGCAAAAAAAAAAAAAAAAAAAAAAAAAAAAAAGATGGAGGCACAGCCTCCAAAACAATACAGAGAAACCCTGTCTCGTAAAACCAAAAAAAAAAAAAAAGTATAAAAAGATGGAGGCACAACTGCTGATCATCCAATGTACTGGCTTGAGCTTCAACTCCAGTTTTTAACCGGAATCCGAGCACGTGATGCAAACTTTGCTCCCCTGTAAAGCGAGGATTAACAATACCTGTAGACTGGGGATGTGGTTTAATGGGTGAAGTCTTTGTCTAGCACAAACAAGGTTCCAGTACTGCACAAATTGGGCTTGGTGGGGCTCACCCTTAGGTGAAAGCAAAAAGACCAAAATTCAAGGCTATCCTAGCCTAAGCATGGATTTCTAGAGCTTCAGACTTTCCTGGGTTACATGAAACCTTGTCTCACTTTTTTTTTATTTTCTTAAAACCTAAACTTATTGGCCGGGCGGTGATGGAGCATGCCTTTAATCCCAGCACTTGGGAGGCAGAGGCAGGCAGATCTATGTGAGATCGAGACCAGCCTGATCTACAAGAGCTAGTTCCAGGACAGCCACCAAAGCTACAGAAAAACCCTGTCTTGAAAAAACAACAACAACAACAAAATCCTAACTCATTGGAAGAATTAAATAAATACGGGTGGTGGTGGCACATGCCTTTAACCCCGTACTTGTGAGGCAGACGCAGACTTCTCTGTGAGTTCAAGGCCAGCCAGGTCTACAGAGCTACACAGAGAAACCCTGTCTCAAAAAGAAAAAAGAAAAAAAAGCACAAAACTCAGTAGGTGGTGGTAGTGCATGCCTTTAATCCCAGCTCCAGGGAGGCAGAGTCAGAGGTAGATGGATCTCTGTGAGATATAGGCCAACTTGGTCTACAAAGTGAGTTCCAGGACATCAGAACTACACACAGAGAAACCCCGTCACAAGAAAAAAAAAATCAAGCAAACAAACCTCATGGTATTGTGATTAAAAACAAGGCCCTGCTTTTTGTTTTTGATCTTGGTTATTTTGAGACAGGGTTTTGCCATGTAGCCCAGGCTAGCCTGTAATTCACTGTGGAGCCCAGGCTGTCTTTGGATTTGTAATCCTCTGCCTTGGCCTCTTGAGTGCTAAGATTACAGGCATATTCCACCATATCTAATTATATCTAATTAGACTCATCTTTTCCACTGCATTTTTGTTCTGTCTGTTTAGAATATAATTACACACAGTTAAAAATTTATACCTCCAGGAATACTGTGCTATAAGTACTTTTGCTGGCATAAAATTCATTTGTAAAATTTGAACCAGCAAATTGCTCAGCAGTAAGGCATTTACTGCCAGGCCTGACAATCTGAGTTCAATCCCCATAACTCACGTGTGGAAGGAGAGAACCAATGCCTGCAAGTTGTCTCTGACCTCCATGCGTGTCCTGTATAGGATGTGCATGCCCCACCCCCGGCACAAATAAATGCAATAAAATTTCTTAGGAATTCAAACTTTTAACCCTGTGAGTTCAAGGTTAGCCTGGTCTTCAGAGTGAGTTCCAGTACAACCAGAGCTACACAAAGGAACACTGTGTCAAAACAAACAAAAAGAATTCATAGTTTAAAAAACCTTTAAAAGTTGGTATTTATACTGTTTGGGTGTGTCTATCTGTTGAGACAGGCTTTCATGTATCCCATGCTGGCTTTGAACTTCTGATCCTTCTCTACCTCCACCTCCTGAGTGCTGAGGCTACAGGCATCCAGCATGCCCAGTGTATACAGTGCTGGGGAGTGAACCCAGGGCTTTGGGCATGCTAGGCAAGCCCTCTGCCAACTCAGATACATCCCCAGCCCCTGAAACAGAACTTTGAATGGGCTGTACATTGTGAAGGGTCTCTAGGTATCTCCTCCCTCCTTTGACTTTCTTACCTGGTCAGGCACAAGCGCACAAAGTCTGCAGCAGATTCTGAGAACCGTTCAGGTAGAGGAGGCATTAGGCCTCTGTGGCCTCCAATGTAAAACATGGCTGCCATCCTATCCATGGAAGCCAGAGGAGGCTTCCCGGTGGCCATCTCAAACACAGTGCAGCCGATGCTCCAGATATCTGATTTTCTTCCGTAGCCAGACTCATTGATGACCTCAGGGGCCATCCAGTATGGGGTCCCACGCATGGACTTCAGCATGTCACTGTGAGTTCCATTTAAGCCTGCCCAGGCCAGACGCTTGGCACAGCCAAAGTCAATCAGCTTTATTGTCCCAGTTGGCATGAGCATGACATTGTTTCCTTTGATGTCTCGATGGACCACACAGTTCTCATGGAGATAAGCAACACCTTGCAGGATCTGCCTTGTGTATTTACAGAACACCATCTCGGGCAGGGGCCCGAAGCGGTTTATAATACTAGAGATGGAGCCACCAGGAACAAATTCCATGAAGATGCTCACCGTGTTCTCCTCCAAGCATGTCCCTAGATAAGCCACTATATTTACATGCTTCAGCGCCTTCAGCAAATCCACTTCCTCCTGCAGTTTCCGGTATTCTTTCTCAGTAGCCAACTTATCAGAAATATCCAAGGCCACCTGCTTCACAGCTATTAGCTGTCCTAGGCTAGTAAGCCCACAATAAACCTATAAACAAGCCAATACAAATTATTAAGTTTATGATAGAGCGTTCAAAAGTGTTCAAAGGTGCCTTTTCCTTTACTTCCCAAACACTCTTTGTCCTCTAAGTCCCCAGATAATACATAGCTAAGCAAACTCTGCATTCAAGATGGCGATGAGCAAGCATGATGAACAGATGACAGATTAATTTATAGTCACATGAATAGATCAATACAAACTGATTCATAATACTAGATGTCCCCCAGCCATCTATTTTTAGATAAGTTTGTATTAGTTTTTTTGCTTGCTTGTCTCAGTTTTTAAAAAACTGACATGTTGGCACTTGCCTTTATCTTAGCACATGGGAGGCAGAAACAGGGAGATCTCAGTCAGTTCAAAGGCAACCTGCTCTACACAGTTCCAGGTCAGCCTGGGCTACACAGTGCCAGGTCAGCCAGGGCTAGATAGTGAGACTCTGTCTGAAAAAAAAATGTCTTTTTATTTTTATTTATGTAATTGTGTGTATGTCTTACTTATATGTATCTGTGTGTGTGTGTGTGTGTGTGTGTGTGTGTGTGTGTGTGTGTGTGTGTGTGTGTAGAGGGTGCTGGGTCACCTAGAACTGGGGTTATAGGTGGTTATGGTTATGAGCTGCCCTATGTGGATGGATGCAGGGAATGGAGCGCAGGTCCTCTGGAAGAACAGGAAACGTTTTTGACTGATGAGCATCTCTCCAGCCCTTCTCTGGCTTTTTGAAGACCATGTCTTATGTACCTCAGGATGCCTCAAACTCACTTTGTAGCTGACGATAACCCTAAACTCCTGATCCTTCTGCTTTTTTCTCCTGAGTGCGAGGACTATAGTGTGTCTCCCACACCCAGCAGTAGTCAGATGAATTGGTGGAGCTGTGTGTGCAAATGGAAGCCAGGGGTTGATATTGGATATCTCACTCAATTGCTTCTCTTATTTGTTTGTTTGTCATTTAATTATTTAGAGACAGTGTCTCTCTCTAAACATAGAGCTCTCCAATTAGGTTAGCCATTGAACCCTAGGGTCCCTTCCGTCTCTTCCTCCCTTGTGCTGAGATTGTAAGTGTGTGGTACGGCACCCAGTTTCTATGGCAGCACTTGAGATCAAACTTGGGTCCTTGCGCTTGCACAGCAAGCATTTTATAAAGTGCATGATCTTTTATTAGTTTTTCTTATCTATAAAACCGATACGACATTTACCTCACGTATTTCTCTGATGAGAATATCAGATGCTGGTCTGGGAAAGCCCCTTACCAAAAGAATGCAACAGGGGCTAAATCAGAATAAAGCTTTCCAGAAAGAGAAGGGAGCAGGCCCTGCCAGTTACCCCATAATGTGATCCCATAAGTTTCCTTCTTGTGGATTCCTGAAGGGTCGCCAGCTAGAGACTCCACAGATCTGCCTTAAGGTTAGTCTTTCTTTACCTGTCTACTTGATACTCTTTAGACCACCAAAAATTTAGGGGGTCATTTATGCAATTCCCAAAACACAAAGAACAATGTTTGAGTTTGCCCCCCTGTAGTAAGTCTCCCCATCTCCAGTGCTATGTTGAGCCACTGGAGGGAGAGATTTCTTTCCCAATGGACTTATGATGAGGGTTAATATTGACTGTCAACTTAACAGAATCTAGATTTGTCTAGGAGACACACATCTGGATATGTCTGTGAGGGAATTTCTCAATTAGGTTAACTAAGGTAGAAAGACCCATCCTGAATGTGACCAGAAGCATCCCACGGGCTGGGATCCTGGGCTGAATAAAAGGGAAAAGTGATCTGAGCACCAGTATTCATCTCTCTCTTCTTCCTGACTGTGGATGTCATGTGACCAGCTGCAACACACTTCTGCTGCCATGACTTCCTCATCATGATAAACTATACCCTCAAACTTAGGGCCAAAATGAATCATTGTTTCCTTAAGTTGATGTTGTCAGGTGTCTCGGAAAAAAATAGTGCAGGGCTTGAACTTGGAATGAAGAGAGGCTAGAGGTGCAATGGGTAGTCACTGCCCGAGAGCAAGAGCCGGGGAAGCCTGTGAGACAGCCGATGGTGAGGAAATGGTTAAGTCTCTAAAACCATTGCCAACATCAAATCAACTCCCCACCTTCCAAGTGCATAAAGAGACATAATCCCTGCAGCAAGTCTGGGTTTTTCGGTGGCTTCCAGCTGAAAATGTACAGGCAGTATGGAAGAGGGTCAGGGCGGCTGGAAAGTTCTAGCATCAGGGTTCAAAGTGGACTTACTGTGCCATATGCTCCTCTCCCAAGGATCTCACCCTTGGTCCAGAATATGGCCTCCTCGTGTCGTAAACTCTTGTCAGAAAGCGTCTTCTTTTCATTTGAGTTAAGAAAGTTTTCTTCCTTGTCATATATCCTGAATCCATTAATACACCTCTAGGGAAATGACAAAAAAAATGTCACTAAGCTCTAATTTGTTGTGGGGAGTTGAGAATACAAGAGATCAGTCTCTTCTTTTCCTCCACCTCCTGTTTGGAGACAAGCTGTCAGGTAGCCAGGCTGGCCTCCAATTCACTCTGTAACCAAGGGTTACCTCTGACTTCTGACTCTACTGCCTTTCTGCCCCAAGTGCTGTGATTACAGCATGCCACCACACACAGCCCGCCACACCTGTGTGCAGCCTAGGGTAGCTAGGAGTGTATGTGGTCCAACACAGAACCATAAACTTACTTCAAACATCATGAGGTTTTACGGGTTCATAAAAGCAATTGTGAGGTTCTATAGCCTGTAACTGTCTGGTGATCACTGGAAATTATCTGCCGTTGATGGAAAAATGTCATCATTGAACAGAATACTGACCTACTTAAATAGCTTTGCTGTGTTAAATTACCTCAGGTGATCTCAAGGCAGAGAGTCAAACTAGCTAAATTCCAGAAGAAAGCTCACACTGAGAACTGGGGTGTGAGTCAATAGGCAGAGCGCCTACTTAGCATTCACAAAGCCCTGGGTTCCATCCCTAGCACCACATAAACCAGGCAGAAGCAGGAAGATTAGAAGTTCAAGGTCTGGAAGCCTACATGGGACAACATAAGCCCTCTACATATATGTAACGGTAGTGTAGCTTGGTCTATTTAAGGGACTCAACAGTGGGAACAGGGACTGTCCCTAATGCTTTGGCTGGCTCTTGGGAACCTATTCCTCATGCTGAATGGCCTTGCTCAGTCTAAATACAAGGGGAGGTGCTTAATCTTATGGCAACTTGATATGTCATGCTTTGCTGATACCCATGGGAGGCCTGCCCTTTCTGAACAGAAACAGAAAAGGAGTGGATTCAGGGGGAGTGGAAACAGGGAGGGCATGGAGGAGAGGAGAGAGGGGAAACCATGGTTGGGATGTAAAATAAATTAATAAAAACAAAAAAGAAGTTCATCCCCAGCTATATAATGAGTTCAAGGCCAGCCTGGGCTACAAAAGACCTCGTCTCAAAGAAGAAAAAAGACACAGGAAAGAATTGTAGTGTAAATCTACCAGTGGTGGCACATGCCTTTAATCCCAGCACTCGGGAGGCAGAGGCAGGTGGATCTCTGTGAATTCAAGGCCAGCCTGGTCTATAGAAGTGAGTTCCAGGACAGCATGGCTATACACACACACACACACACACACACACACACACACACACACACACAGAAAAAAGAAAGAAAAGAAAAACCCTGTCTCAAAAAAAAATTATTATTTGGGCTGGGTGTTGGTGACGCACACCTTTAATCCCAGCACTTGGGAGGCAGAGGCAGGCAGATCTCTGTGAGTTCAAGGCCAGCCTGGTCTACTGAGCGAGTTCCAGGACAGCCTCCAAAACAATACAGAGAAACCCTGCCTCAAAAAAATTACTATTTGTGGTTTATGATTGCTTATTTTAGGGACCAGGAAGATGATTCAGTGCAGTGTTTCTCAAACTGTGGGTCCTGACCCCCACAGTGGTCTCCTATCAGACATTTACATTACAATTCATAACTATCAAACTTAAAGTTATGAAGTAGCAAAAAAAAACCAGTTTTATGGTTGGGGGATAGCACAACATGAGGAAGGGTCACAGCGTTAGGAATGTTAAGGACCACTGATTCAGTGGAAGGAGGCGCCAAGCCTGATGATCTAAATTTCATCCCGGAAACTGAAATGATGGAAGGAGAGAGGATTATCCTTTGACTTCTACCTATATGCTATATCACATATGTGTGCACTCATGCAGTTGCAAGCAAGCACACACACACATACACATACACACGCATGCACATAATTAAAAATAAGGGTTTTGAACCAGATATTGTCTCTAAGGCCCTTCCCACTCCAATGCATTTCTGATTATAAAAACAGACCAACCTGTAGTTTGACATTTGTTGTCTCTCTGTCCAATTCTTCGATGGTATTGCCTCTCCTACTGAAGACAAGGTTCAGGTTTTCGGCCTCTGCCTCATTTGTCATTATTTGGCAAGAGCTATTATCTGTCTCATCAAGTGCTAATAGTTCTTCAACCAGACAACCTAGCAACTCATCTGTCAATTCTTCATTTTTTACTGGATCTAAGATTTCTCTGGAAATCTTTCCATATGTTTGATATGTCACAGAGTTATTTTCTAAGCTGTCCTGATCCAAAGAACGTGTCCAGTGCTGCTCTGTAGGGGAAGGTGCACTTTCTGGGTTCTCGTAGAAAGAGAAACTCGGAAAGGTCATGGGTGTTTTAGACTTATCTGAAAGGCTATCGAATTCTAGGTAATCCATGAGCATCTGGTCAACATTGACTTTGTCAAGAGGTTCTGTGTCCTGCTTTTCTGGTGACACATGCTTGCCTGAACTCTTGTCACTGAGCACCACAGCCCAGCTGTTTTCTGAAGGGACAGGCAGGGTCTGCTGGTGCAGCTCTCCAAGTCCTTTTAGATCTCCAAGGCTTTGGGTAAGTATGTCACTGGTAAAATTGCCTCCCTCATCTGCATCCTCCTCTGTGACGATGTCTTCAACAATGTATAGATCTGAGACAGGAGGGGTCTCTTTCTGTTCAGGGGATTGCTCAGGGATCGGCGTCAAGTTGGTGATCTGAACTTCATCTTTGGGAGACAGAAAGTCATTTCCTGATGATCTAACTGGCCAGTCTGGTTCTGAAACACCATCCTCCCTGCAGCTACCTGTAGTCCTGCAACCCCTTTCTTTAGAAATCAACCCTCTGTGCTTTTGCTTGAGACCAAGTGAAGGCTTGGCAGCTTTAATGTGTGGCCTCTTCTGAAGAAGTCTCACTCTGCTATTGCTGCCCCGGTCACTTTGGGAAGACTGACATTTCCCGGGGATGCATCTGCCCAGTGGAGCTGCGCATATTTCATGGTAATATCTGTGTTCATGCCTTTCTGCCTCTCGAATGTGACTGTAAATGGGGGTCCCAAACATCTCGTAGATTCCTGGTCCATTGGAGGTTGAATTGATTTCTTTGAACATGTCACTGTACTTCAAGTCCAGGAAATGCAGTCTTGGATCTGTTGTTTCAGCCAAGAGGGGAACACATGGCTTTTTTATACCCGAGTTTTTACAGATTCGAGGAAATGCTTGCTTCTTAGAGTTCTGGGTCTGATGCATTGATTTCTTCTTTTCTGTTGGAGGCGCTCTCCTTTGAAACTTAGGTGACGGATGAAGTCTGGGGTCCATGTTTTCCAAAGCAGGGAAAACTTGAGGTTTTATGCTGCTTTTATGCCTGTTGGGTTTAATGGAAGCTTGGATGGAAACTGTGAGATTAGGAGGTGGTCTGTTTCTTGCCTTGGTCCTTGAATCCAATTTGGTTCTATGAGTATTTGTCTGGAGTTTGTCCTGTTCTTGTTGAGCAAGCGTGCTGAGGCTACTGCTGTTCTGCACAGTGCGCTTTCTCTTTTGGAGGTTTGCTTTGGCTGTAACTGACTCCTTGTGTGTTCCTTCTCCAGGGAATGGGATTTGGACAAGAGGCACCATACCATTCATTGCCGGCCTCATTGATTCCTCTACTGATATCTTTTTGTTCTGTTCTGTGTCTTTATGGTCTTCTAGAAGCTCTTCCGTGGAGCCGTCGGAATTCATACTAGATATGTCCTTTAGAACTCTAAACTCCTCTTGCGTAGCGTGTGGCTCCGTTGCTCCAGCTTCGTGTAAAGAATTGCTTTCGGAATCAGGAACTGTCTCATTTCTGATCTCTTTTTCCTTGGTTGGGATTATTTCTGCATTTGAGGCTTCCTGGAGCTTGTGGAGAGTGGTGTACACAGCTTCGGAATCTTGTTCAAGCGCTCTGGCTGTTGAACCCTCTTCTTTTCTTGATGAAGGATACTGGGAGATTTCACCCCCTTTCCTCATTTCACTATCATGGCATTCACTATCCCTTCCCCTCTCCATGGGAACATTGCCTTCCGTGACCTTCTCACAGGAAACCAATACTGGCCCTTCTTCAAAGCAAGCGGTTTCGGTTTTGTCCCATCCTTCCATTGCCTGGGATCGCCAACCCTCCACCGCTCCCCCCTGTTTTCTGGGACGGTTCACCTTCTGGAAAGAGCACATGTTTCTAGACCAAATGGCACTGTCAGACACCCTGAGGCTTTGTTCCGCTGGTCCCTTCCACGTGACTTCTTGATGGTTCTCTGATGAGCTAATGTCAACTGAGTGACTAAGAGGCTCTAAGAGCTTAGGTACAGACGTGGTGAACCTTGGGATTTTTCTGTCATTGTGTCTTGGGAACTTGTGACTTTTTTCCATATCGAGGACACAAGATCTCATGGGCAAGAGTGATAGTGACGGCAGAGGAAACTAAAAAAAGAGAAAAAAACAGTGAGTGCAAAAAATATCTGAGAACCATATTCACTGATTCAAAGTCAAAAACTTCTCTTGTTTGTTTTGTCTTTTTTGTTTTGTTTTTTCGAGACAGGGTTTCTCTGTGGCTTTGGAGGCTGTCCTGGAACTAGATCTTGTAGACCAGGCTGGTTCGAACTCACAGAGATTCACCTGCCTCTGCTTCCCGAGTGTTGGGATTAAGAAAGGCGTGCACCACCAATGCCTAGGTCATTTTGTCTTTTTGTGATTATTTTTCTATGTAGCCTTGGCTGTCCTAGAACTCACTCTGTAGACCAGTCTGGCCTTGAACTCAGAAATCTTCCTGCCTCTGCCTCCTGAGTGCTAGGATTAAAGTCGTGAGCCACTACCCGGCTTAAATAAAAAAGTTGTAATATCCACTTACAGAAAGTCTTTAAAGTATAAAGCCATCCTGAGGATTGCATTTTGTGTTCAGAGTTGGGGAATCAAACCCAGGGATGAGCACCTGGGCAAATGCTCTTCCACTTAGCTACGTCCAGCTACATCAATATGTCTACAGGCCAGAAAGATCACAATTTTTAAAACCAAAACCTGGGACTGGGGATGGAGTTCTCGTCTGGTATGCATGAGGCCCTGGTTTGATCTCCAGCATCAAGTAAACGGGGCACTGTGTATACACCTATAGTCCCATGCTGGGGAGGTGGAGGCAGGAGGATCAGGGCAGTGTAAGGTCATAGACTCTATACAGCCTGGGCTGGAGTACTTGCCAATAAATAAAAACACAAACAAATAAACAAGTGCTGAAATAAAATAAAACCTAAATCAGGACCAGCAAGATGGCTCCTTGGGTAAAGGCACCTGCCACCAAGACTGATGACCTAAATTTGATTCCTGGGACCCACATGATAGCTGATGTCCCCAAGTTGTCTTCTGATATCTGCATGTACATAGTCTGCCTCCCTCCCTCCTCCCTCTCTCCTCCCTCCCTCCTCCCTCCCTCCTTCCCTCCCCTCCTCCCTCCCTCCCTTCTTCTTCTCCTTCTCCTTCTCCTTCTCCTCCTCCTCTTCCTCCTCCTCCTCCTCCTCCTTCTTCTCTCTCTCTCACACTCACACACACACACACACACACACACACACACGCGCAAAGTAAAAATAAATATCTTAGCTGGGCAGTGGTAGTGAACACCTTTAATTCCAGCACTCAGGAGCCAGAGGCAGCCAGATCTCTGTGAGTTCGAGGCCAGCCTGGTCTACAGAGTGAGTTTCAGGACAGACTCCAAAGCTACAGAAAAACCTTATTTCAAAAACAAACAAAAAAGCTAAAATTTATATGTCAAGACTCATAGTTATGTATACATTATTTACTTGTTTGTTATTTTGTTTTATTTTTTGATTTTTTGAGACAGTTTTTCTGTGTAGCCCGACTGTCCTGGAACTCACTCTGCAGACCAGGCTGGCCTCAAAGTCAGAGATCCACCTGCTTCTGTTTTCTGAGTGCTGGGATTAAAGGTGCGTCACACCACGCCAGCTTAGATGTTAAGTTTTAAGACGAGAAATATTTTCTTTCTCTCTTCTTTTTAGTTGTCACAGGATTGATTAAAATGTTTTGAAACTCTCTTTGGATTAATTTAAACTTGTTGTCATGTGTACTTTAGCGTTCCTTCCAACAGTGATGATCTCAGGATTTGTGGAACAAAACACTCATCATTGCTTTGCTGAATTGTTTCATTGGGAACAGCTTTAGACTTGGAAAATTAGCAACCCCGAGATCTGGGTAGACTTCTCAGATGCTTGTGTTTTCCCAGAATGCAGAAGGCTCTGGATTCAATCCCCAGTAACCCACAAACTGGATGTGGTAGTGCATGCCTGTGGTCCCAGGACTCTGAAAGTGGAGACCAAAGGATCAGGAGTTCAAGGTTATCCTCAGCCATGTAGTAAGTTTGAGGGCAGTCTGAACTGCATGGCAATATTTAAACAAAAACAAGAACAACCTAAATAGCTTTAAAAAGAGTTGTTTAATGTGTATGAAGGCTGCTTTACCTGCATGTATGTATCTGTACCATGCACATGCCTAGCGGGTGACTGTTGGATCGCCTAGAACCGGAGCTACAGATGGTTGTGATCTACCATGTGTTACTAAAAGCTGAACCCAGGTCCTCAAAAGTGACACGTGCTCTTAAGCAATAAGTCATCTCTCCAGACTCCTCAATAGCTCTTTGTGCTCCTTTGCCCTCCAAACTGTTTCAAACTCAGCCAGTTTTAATTAGTTCCAACCTCTAGGGGGCAGTGTAATGCAAAGTATAGCATTCAGCCTTGAGTCTGCTAAGCTATGAAGTCCTCAAGTGGGTGTTTCTTTTCTTTGTGGTGTTTTCTCATGTATACAAACTCCATATCCTAATTGTGTCAGATTATTTGTAGACATGAATTGTTCATAGTGATTGAGAACTATAGCTTGAATTTTCAGTTGCCAGCTAGCTGTAAGCAGGTAGGGGAAGACCCAAATATTAGAAACTCAGATGTCAGGTGATGGGTATCTCCCTCCAATGTATTGCCTGAATTTCCCCACATTTCTCAAAAAGGGGGAAAGAAGGAGCGAGGAGGAGATGGCTCAGTCAGTAAAGTGCTTGCCTTGCAAGTACAAACACCTGAGTTCAATCCCCAGGCCCCACATTTCAAAAGCTAGCCACAGTGGAACAAGTTTGGAATCCCAGTGTTGGGATGGGGTGTAAAACAGATCCCTGGAGTTTGCTGACTGATGGACCTATTATAATTGGCCAGTGGGAGACCCTGTCTCAAGAAGCAAGGTGGACAGTGCTGGGAAACAGCACCTGAAGTTGGTCTCTGGCCATATACACACAAACACTTACACACACACACACACACACACACACACACACACACACAGAGACAGAGACAGAGAGAGAGAGAGAGAGAGAGAGAGAGAGAGAGAGAGAGAGAGAGAGAGAGAGAGAGAGAGAGAGGAGTCTTCCAGTGTTTGGAAGTCCCTTTCAAAAGCAGATACACAGGTGTGCACGGGTGACTCTCACGTGCTGACACACAGGTGTGCACAGGTGTCTCTATCACATGCTGATGCACAGGTGTTCACAAAGTGTCTCTCTCACATGTATGCACAGATATCTATCACATTCTGATGCACAAGCGTGCACAGATATCACTCACGTGCTGATGCACAGGCATTTCTATGTCCTCTAGGACACTGAAGGCCAGGAGAGCTGAGAAAACCGAAAAATGACCAGTATCTTCCCAGAAGCTTTCCTTTTAAATTGCAGAAGCAGGAAAAACTCCACCATGGGGAGGTGAACGGCAAAGAATTACCTAGAATTCGGGCAATTGTAAGATCGAGTGGTGTGGTGACCCACTCCTTCAATTCAGCCCTCAGGAGGCAAGGGCAGGAGGAACTGGATTCCTGTGAGTTCGACACCAGACAGGGCTACATAGTGAAACCCTGTCTCAAAAGTTAAATACGTAAGCAAACAAAGACGCAGGCAAACAAAAGGAGTTGAGTGAAAGAAAACTAAGGAGCGAGAAGCACAGCTCGGAACAGCACTGGGGAAGCCAGGACTGTCAATCACATGGGCCTGTTTTCTTCCATGGGAGAAAATGGACGACACCCAGTCACCTGGAATGCCAGAGTGAAAAGTGGCCCATCAACCTGGTGGCCTTTTGCTATTCTATGAGCCAGACTTCCTGAATCCCCCAATATCCTGAGCATTGTTTAGGCCCTCATCCTGAGCTTTGTCTCTCAAGTGAACAGAACACATTCATTCCTGAAAGAGGCACGTGAACTTTGCATCCTCCATCAATAGAATCCATGCTTACGCTTATCTCAGATCCTTCTCTAGGCCTGAGCTCTACTCAGCAGCCAATAGAGTTTATTCTTGCTATAGAGGTCACTGGTCACAAGTTCTACCATGTTTCAATGTGTAGGGAAAACAGAGTACAAGGTCAGTCCCTGGAGGTCTTTACCCAGTGCCCTCACTGTCCCCAGCTTTCACTGTTCTTTGGTCTGATTTCTTGCCAGTTGCAATACTTGCAATCAGCCCTTAACACTAAGAGACGGGTTCACCTCCCTGAGCAGGGGACAGGAAATTGCTCAGAGAAGCAACCCGCACAGAGCAAGGGACAATATTCGAATGAATAACTGACTTCTCCATAAAACAGGCAACGTTTTCAAGGTTTCCTACACACTATTATTGCTAAGGATTTGACAATGAGTAGTTTGATGGAACTTGTTGTTGTTGTTTTGTTTGGTTGGTTTTGGTTTTTCGAGACAGGGTTTGTATTGTTTTGGAGGCTGTCCTAGAACTCGATCTGTAGACCAGGCCTCAAGCTCACAGAGATCCTCCTGCCTCCGCCTCCAGAGTGCTGGGATTAAAGGTGTACGCCAGCAATGCCTCGTTGTTGTTTTAACTAAGTGAAAAGTGCTGGAACTAATCTTACCTCAATTCTTCGACTACTGTGTCTCACGTCAGAAGCAGGAAACTCTATGAGAAAAGAACAAACAAACAAGAATTGGGTGTTCTTAGTAATAGGGTGAAAAACTTGTGGATGGAGCAATGTGGGAAAGTGTTTCAAAGTATGTTTTTTTTTCCTGTGCAGTGTACACAGTGGTATGGAATTTTCCAGAAAACCACAAGCCAAGCCACCAGGAGAGATTGTTGTTGTGGGTTTGTTTGTTCATTTGTTTTTGAGACCTGGTCTCAGGTAGGCTGACCTTGAACTCCCTAGGTAGCCGAGGATGACCTTGAGTGTTAGCATTGTAGGTCTGCGTTATGCCCAGTTCAGTACTGGGAACTAAACCCAGGGCTTCATGCGTGCTAAGCAAACACTCTACCAACTGAGCCACATGTCCAGCTCCTACACTAGTTTGTTTTGTCTCCCCCATGAAATACTCTTTCCTGAAACACACATAGAATGCATTCCCTCTTCTTCATTCGCTCAGGTTGCCTGCACTATTGTCGTGTGTGTGTGTGTGTGTGTGTGTGCGCACGCGCGCGCACACACACCAGGGAAGGCATCTTTGTCCAGTGGTATGCTTGTAGAGCTCGGAGGACACACATTTAGGCACCACTAACCTTGCTTTTTAAACAAGACCTCTCACTGGCCTGGAAATCATCAAATTGGCTACACTGGAAGACCAGGGAGCCCCAGAGATGTTCCAGAACCAGCCATCTCTGGGCAATGAGGACAACCATGAGTGATCATAACTGAATTTTTTTTTAAATACAGGTTCTGAGGAACTGAACTCAGATCCTTGTGATTGCAAGCACCTTAATTACTGAGTTATCTCTCCAGCACCACTATAGAATTAAATGTTCAGCTTAATATGTTTCCTCTTATTTGTGGTTTCTAGACTTTTTTACAGGCATACATAAAATCATATATGTATATATGGCACGACAGAGGAATGAAATTGTTTAGGGTACAAAGCGGACTAGTAGGAAGGAGAAGGAGAAAAAGGAGAGCAGAGGAGGGTGAGGGGGAATGGGCTTGCCGTACAGTATATTCTCACATGGAAACGTTAACAGTGAGTACTCAAACACATGCCTCACTCACCTTCTGGTTTCCTTTGCTGCGCTTTCAGAACACAGGGAGCCTCCTCCCTGGCTACAGACGTAGCAGTACTTGGGTCTAAGCAAGGTCTCGGTAAGAGGGCCGCATCCATACCACGGAGTTCCTCAGAACTTCCTTCCCTCCTCAGACATGAAGGTCTTGCTGTGAGGCCCACCATCTCCACTTCATTTGGTGGAGAGACAGGACGCACCTGTCCCCACTCCTGATGCACTGAAGTCACCTGCCTGGGAAGGGAGAGATGGAAAAACTCATCTGCTGGTATAGTTTGGATCT